GTTCTCTAACTTATGGATTGGCGGGCACTTGAGCAGAGATCCGGCAAATGCTAAAAAGCAACCAAACTACGATATATCAGTAGTCGGCACCATAAAAATGAACATCCCTTATTTAAATTTATTAAAATAAAAACACTAGGTAGATAATTTAATTGCATAGCCCAAAATGGACATGTATATTGTATTAAATGGTTGATAGAGTTGAGCAAGTTTTCGCGATAACTAATGCTTTTCTAATCCAATTTAAATATTTATGCTCACGTCTTGTTCTATCCAATCGAAAATTGATGCTTCAAAGATGCTTCATTTTCATACAAGCACTGACCAAAGATACAAGTAATTAAGCGCACGCAACAATTTCAGAAACTTTGAAGTCACACGCTTAACGTAAAATATCGTTAAAAATCATAACATCAAAACAGCCAGTAGTCATATGTAGACTAGTGGCAGCACTGATGTCTTTTGACAGTACAATCGATTAAAACTACTTCGATTCAAGGATTTTAACATTTTAGTGTACGATAGTTGTCATCGTATACTCGTATAATACAGATGTATAAGCAATCGTATATCGACGTTTGACATCTGAGTTCAGTTTCGGGCATCAGTCTCATAAATTGAAACAAAGCGAACGGAGAAACAATTTTACTAACTTTCTGCTTGCAATGGAGGTTGACGAGGATGAATTCGAAGTGCCATCGAGCAGCAGCAAGGGAGAAAAGAAACGTTTTGAAGTTAAGAAGGTAAATACAATAAATTTATTCATATGCAAACTTTTTTTTATTAAAAAAAGACAAAATGGCGAATTTGCAAAAACATGGCGTGTAATTAATTTTTCTCCTATACTATTTTGTACTTCCAGTGGAATGCCGTAGCACTATGGGCATGGGGTAAGTCTGCTCCCAAACCAAAATACCATGTAAGTGTATAAGAAAAATAAATAAATCATATCTTATTGCAGATATCGTTGTGGATAATTGCGCTATTTGCCGCAATCATATAATGGACTTATGCATCGAATGTCAAGCAAATCAGGCATCGGCCACCAGCGAGGAGTGCACCGTTGCCTGGGGCGTTTGCAATCATGCTTTTCATTTCCATTGCATTTCTCGTTGGCTTAAGACTCGTCAGGTCTGCCCACTTGATAATCGTGAATGGGACTTCCAGAAGTATGGACACTAAGACTTGCAGCAACTGAAATACAATTACAAGTACAACAACAGCAACCAAACACACACACGCGAGCGCGAGCATACACACACACATGTGCGAGCACACACACACAATACACAACACAAAGAAATAATAGGATACTGACGTCGCCGAGTATTTTCGGTGTTTTGAGGCATAAGACAAGTCCTCAATGTATATCAAACTTAGGTTAAAATTCATGAGTTTGTTTAATATAAGAAATTGCATGTTGCACACATAAGTTTGTTGGTTTTTTTATATTCCTATTGGAAATAGGAAAATGCTTCGAAATGTTTCCAATAGTAAAATACCGTTAACCGTAGTTTCCAGTTCGCTGGGAATGCTGTAAGGGTCCGGTCGTTGGTAGCACAAAAATATGGATTACCGTGGTCAATTTTTCTTATTGCACAAGTTATTATTTAGTTGAATTTAAAAAAAGTAACCTTCGATGACAAAATTGCCAGAAAATTACACACAAAATATATGTATGTACATATGTGTTAGCTTTGCTACAACCACTTTTTTCCCAACGGTTTTTGACTACGATTTAGTTTATATTTAACAATCGTTTTTTTGGACAATCTAACAGTTTATGATCTAAGAAAGAACTAAATTAATATCTTGAATTATTTGTGCAATGCTATCTTGTCCGGCCGTCTGCCCGTAGAATGCAATCTTTTAAACTAGAGACTTGAAATTTGGAACATATTCTCATGTATACCCGCGAACTATAGTGTCAAGGTTTTCCCGGTCAACCTGCTAGAGGCGTGGCAAATCGGCAAATGCATTTTCCAGTAACTCAGAAGCCATGGAAGTTGAAGAGCTAGAGTTGCAACTTGAAATGTTCTTATAATCGCATTGTCAAGATCAAAAGATATGGTGTATATATCTACGCCCATTAGGGGCGTGGAAATCGGGTAAAACAGTATAGTTCTACAGTTTTAGAGCTAGAGATCCCAAACTTGGCAGATGAGTTACTGGTTCGATCCAATAATATACATCCATGCCCAATATAAGGGTGCCAAATCGGATCTGACTATATAGCGGTCTATGCAAATCATATTTTATTAATGCTAGAGGCATGAAATTTGGGATATATACTCGGGTCGACAACCCAAGGCAAAAAAGATATGCCGGGTATATCTATGCCCATTTGGGGGCGTGGTAACCAGGAAAAGTTTTTATCTCGTAAAGTATGATCAATTTCAAATCGAAATTGGATAGTTGATTTTCTGGAGGCCTTATCTATAGATGATAGTGTTTACGTCCATTTGAGGACCCCGTAATTTTCCTAATTTTGCACTTACGTTACCTTAGATGCCTTTTAAGAATCAGCCAAATATCGATTGATGCTGTTGGAATCCTATATTGCCGGGGGAATAGAAAATCGGCAAATGTATCGGATCTGCCGCCGTTTGAGTCCTGAATGAGTAGTCTGCAGGCAAATGGCCAGCTGCGCCCTCAGCCCAAAGTTTCACCGTACGTGTTTTTCATAGAGGAAAGCTCAGAAATATTAATGATCAAACCTAGTTTGTTTAATTTATTATTATTATGAATGTAAGCGCTGCTGCCGTGCAAAAGAGTGCACAGCACAATTACATGTGAATCGGTATGTTTGTATATATTAAAAAAAAAATCATAAAACTATATTAAATAAAACTAGCTGATGCGGCGGCGTACGTTTGATAAAAAAAACCGCTCCATATGAACTGCATGCCTTGCTATTCCTTAATGCGAGGAGCTGCGGCCTCCAGGCAGAGCGATACGCCGGGCATTCCACTTATGTATGTATGTATGTATATGAAAAAAAAGAATTTGTAAATATGGTATAATTGTTTGTATATCGACTAATTTATATGCTAAAAAAAAAAAATTAAACACAAAAAAATGTAATATAATTATGCAAAATTGATTTGTAGAAAAAAAAACATATTTGTAGGTGTGTGTGTGTACTACGTGTAAATTTAAATTATTAATAATAAATTAAAACTAACATGAACTGCACGAAAATGTCAATGAATTATATTGCCTGGGTTTACAAAATGTACTGCAAGTACATACACACATACACATTGCTTTCTTGCTTGTAACTAAAAAAAAACGTATGTATTCATGTATGTGTGTATGTTCTCTTCTCTCCAACAACATAACGAAAGAAAGGAATACAAATACAAATACAAAATAGTGAATGAAACAACTTTTTCGCAAGTCACCAAAATTATTGTTGTTTTGTTTTCAATTTGCAGCGTTTATTTTTTGTTGTTATTT